TCGAGGGTGTGGATTTTAATTGGTCCAGCTCTTTTTAAAAAGCAAAATTCTTTTATTTTCCAACCATAGGGCTGAAATAACAAAGCTGGGCTGGAGCTTGGAAGGTGATTTTAGACCTGCTTAGTCACTGGCTGGGATCAGCTATTTTTGGGTTTACACTGAATGAAAAAAATGGGTTATTTATAGTGGRTCAGAGCCTGGAACTGCATCATCCTGGTGCTGCCAGAGCCAGGAAATCTCATTTTGCTCCTTTTTCCCTTCAGATCCACGCCTACAACCTGGAAACCAACACCTGGGAGGAGATCACCACCAAACCTCACGAGAAAATCGGTGAGTTTGCAATTCCCTGGAAACACGAGGTGCAATTTTCTTGCTCAAAATGGGATTTAATGCTGGGTTTGAGGTCGTTTTTATGCTTCAGCACTGAGGATTAACCCATCCAAAGGAATTTTTCAGGCTGGCTCTGCTCCCAGAGCATCCAGATCATCCCTGCTCCTTTTAAAGCTCTGGGAGATTTCCCTGAGCCAAATTTGAGACTCTGCAAAACAAGATCCCAGCACGTTTTTTTCCTTCCCTGGAGAGGAATTAGGAATCTGAAACAGCTGCTTAAAATCACAGCTTTTCTACCTGGGATTGCAGGAAAGCAGAACTCTGTAAAAATTAAACTCCAGGATTAAATGTTGACATCATCACCACTTGCACAAACATATTAAAACAACTATAATTATTTTTTTAAAAAATTTGTTCTCCCCAGGCTTCCCAGCAGCCAGAAGATGCCACAGCTGTGTCCAGATCAAAAATGGTAAGATTTAGCTCAGGAAAATCAGTGTATTTTATACAACCAGACAGTGGAGAGCTGGAAAGAATGCAGGGAACACGTGGCTTTTTTTGGAGGAGGATTTTTTTTCCTCACTCACACACCCAGTTAGTTCCACTCTTTTCTTCCACATTAAAGAAACAGTTGCAATATTGATCCCTTTTTTCCAAACCCTTCAGGATAATGGAGGGTGGAGGAAATGATGGATTATATTTCCTAATTGTCCTGATAAAAGTAAGGCAGGAGATGCTTTCAGCAGGGGGATTTTGCAGCCTCTGGGTTGAGAAATTGGGCACCCCATGGGTTTAAAATCCCTGGAATCTCATTAAACCCAAGTGTCTGAGAATTCAGGGTGGCTGAAGCTTAACACAGTCACAAAAAGAGGGAATGCACYCCCATTGCTGTGATATTTAGCCCTGGGCAGGCTGGGCAGTGGGACAGGAGCCAAAAATCCACCCTGGATCAGGCTGGGAGAACTGGGAATGTTCCCCTGGAGAAGGGAAGGATCCATGGAGAGCTTCCAGAACATTCCAGGGGCTCCAGGAGAGCTGGAGAGGGACTGGGGCCAAGGGCTGCAGGGACAGGACACAGGGAATGGATCAGAGTGGAAAAGGGGAGATTGGGGTGGGATCTGGGGAATTGGGAATTCCTGCCTGGGATGAATTCCCAGAGAATTCCTGGATCCCTGGAATGTCCAAGGCCAGGCTGAACATTGGGATTGGAACACCCTGGAATAGGGAAGGTGTCCCTGCCATGGCTGGGATGGCACTGGAGGGGCTTTAAGATCCTTTCCAACCCAACCCATCCTGGGATTCTCTGAGTGGCCTCTGCTTGTGCTGGGACTGATGTGGGAGATCCTGAGAAGTTGAGATACAACTGATCCTAAATCTGGGGTGGGAAGGTGCTCCCTGACCCCAAAGGTGCTCCCTGACCCCAAAGGTGCTCCCTGATCCCTCTCCCCTCTGGGCCTGACCACTCCCTGGCTCTTCTTTCTTTCAGATGTGTTCGTGTGTGGAGGATACAACGGAGAGGTGATTCTGGGAGATGTTTGGAAGCTGAACCTGCAGACTTTCCAGTGGGTCAAGCTGCCAGCTGTGATGCCAGAGCCCGTGTATTTCCACTGCGCTGCTGTCACCCCGGTAAGAAACTCCTTTTTGTTCATCCCAGCTCTCTGACTTTACTATGGGCTGCACATTGAGCTGAAATTCCYCAGGAAGTGATTTCCACTGGATTCAGCAGATTTTGGGAGGTTCTGACTCCTTTACCCACACTGGGTTTTCTTTTCTGAAAGAAACAATGCAGAATTTTAACTTCTAAATTCCTGTGTCAACAGCAGTTCCTGCTGTAAAAGGCAAAAAAAAAACCCCACAAATACTCCCTGAGTAAATTGATTTTATCCTACTGAGGTGAAAGATTAGAGGAGCTTTTTTCCAGCCCTTTGGAAAGCACTGAGGAATGTTGGTATTGCAGAGTTTTGGCCAGAAGTAGAAATTTGGAGAGCTGGGATTGATAATTAACAGAAATGCCTTTGGTTGTGATTTCATCTCCTTCAGCTCCTCCTCACCTCAGGCCAGAGATCACATTCTTTGGTGTCACTTAATTTGGAAAGTGTTAAAATGCAGCTTTTCCTGGGAAACCTGATAAAGGTGTTTCCCAGGCAGCTCAGTGACTGCCTGGACAGCAGGAATGCCCTTTCTTTGCCAGCATATGGGAAAAAAAAACCAAAAAAAAMCYAAAAAAACCACTCAGCAGCTGAGTTTTCCCATCTCTCCGTGYTCCTGTCATCCCTGGAGCAGAGTTGTGCTGAGCCAAGGGAATGCAGGATGTCTGTGTGGGCTGGGTGGAGTTTAAAAAAATACATTATTTTTAGCTGAAACACAGCTCAGTACTATTTCAACAGTTTGCCACGCTCCTAAAATGGATTTCTCGGGATGGAAAACACCTAAAATTCAGAGCAATGAAGGGGTGGATGAGTGGTTGAGGATKAGACAGAGCCCATCCAGCAGTGATTTCTGCCCTGGATCAGAGGATCCCAAAACAAATAAATCTGATTTATCCCATCCTGCTGTTCCTGGCTGTAATTCATCCCCCTTTCCCCACCCAGGCTGGCTGCATGTACGTCCACGGAGGGGTKGTCAACATCCACGAAAACAAACGGACTGGCTCCCTGTTCAAAATGTGGCTGGTGGTGCCCAGCCTGCTGGAACTGTGCTGGGAGAAGCTTCTGGAATCTTTCCCTCATTTAGCAACTCTCTCCAGATGTCAGCTTTTACACCTCGGACTGACGCAGGGACTCGTTGAGCGACTAAAATGAGAACATCTCCAACTTGTGGCCGAAATGGCACCTYGAAGAATTGCCCTTCCCTCCCCCTATTTATGGATTCCATGGATGGTCTTGCTAAGAACACGGAGGAACCTGCTCACGGCCTTACTGAGCAAATACATTGATGCCTTTCCAGACGTTGTTACTTTTGCTCATTGAAAAAAAAAAAAAGAGAAAAAAAAGCCCCTTTTTATTTATGGAGCTCTGAATGACACCATTAATCAGAAGCATTTTCTGACACTAAGCAGTCCCTGCTTGCAAATTAATTGGGGAGCTTGATGAATTCATGAATGTCTGAGCTTGTGCTTACACGTGGCACCTTCACCTCGGTGTTTTTACCATATTTTATCCAACGAGGAACATTTGCTGCAGAACCACCACCAACCTGTTTTTTTTTTTTTGCTTTGGATAACCCATCCCTCCCTCCCAGCTGAGTTCTCCTTTCTCCAAACCCACCAATTCCTTCAGCTTTGCATGTGTTCCAGGGGCACCTTCCCAGCCCTGAGCTTCTGGAGACGGCTGGAACGTCCCCCGGTGCAGTGTCTGTGTTCTCCCCTTTTCATATTGAAAGCTTTGCTTGGAAGACTGGGAAAAAGTTGCTACTTAAGGGACTACTGTGTAGTTTACTGCTGGTGGGGAGGGAAAAGGTTTTTCCTGAGGTTTTTTTTAACCTTTTCTGCTCACTTTGCACCCGGAATGAGCTACAGCAAAAACTCACCCTGTAGATTGCAGAGCTCTTTGAAACCCTGGGTATCAGCAGCAGCCAGCTTTTRGTTTTCCTTCCTCCCACACATCCCAAATTGGCCTTTTTGTTGTTGCTTCGTGTTGCCCTGAGGGTGGGAGCTGGGATTTAAAGCCAGTTTTGGGAGGAGCTTTGTGGATTGCTCAGCCCAGGAAATRAAAAAAAAGGGGAGAGGGAAGATCTCTCCATCCTGCTGGGATCAGGAATTGTCTCTGCACAGGAACGATGGGAAGGGGTCTGGCCTCTGGCCCTGTTGTACTCTGAATTTATTTAAGTGGCCACTGAACTCGAAGCAGCTCCAGGCATGAGGTTTGTGCAAAATCCTTTTCAGTTGGAGCCCATTTTTAAGTGCCTTTTGTTTTTAAAATCCGCTTTCCCCCATGCTTTCCTCTTCATCAAAGGCAGAGGTTACACTTTGGGGTTTTAGTTTTGTTTTAAGAGATTGCATTTATGTTTCAATAAACCATAGCATTGTCTTCATGTTGTTCATCCAAAGGCACTGCCTGATGGAGTCACTGCCCCCTCTTAGGGCAGCCACCCCTTTTCCAAAATTAAACATCCCCTGGCCTTGGGAATATATTTTCCTCCTTTTCCAGCCTCAGTTGCTCCTTTTTTGAAAAATAAAGGCTGGGCAGCACAGCTGAAGTGTTCTCAGGTACTTTGGAGCACCAGGAACTGGTGGCAGCTGCTTGGGCTCTGTTTCATCCCCTGCATTGCACCTTTGCAGGAATTGTGCTTTTCAACCTGAATCCAGACCCTGCTGGCAGCTGTGGGCTGGAAAAGGGTTCCTTCTCTCCTCCAGGACCATTTCTTCCACCCCAAACTCCCAGGCTGAATATCCACACTTCCATCTTGGCATTCTGCCCTCCAGGACCTCTGTTCTCCTCCCTGTGCTGGTTTTTTCCTTTCCTGCTTTAAGGAGCATCTCCCATCATCCCTGAGGTGATACTGGAGCCAGGCTTGGATTTCTGAGCAAGCACATTCCTTCAGCTCTTTGGTTTTTCTCACTCTGGAAATCCTTGGAGCTTTGTCTGAGGTTGTCACAAAGATTTTGGAGCAGGGTTGGGAATCCTGAGAGGTCCCAGTTGACTGGAAGCTGCTCCCAGTTTTCAAGAAAGCACAGGGCTCTGTCAGTCTCACTTCAGTACCTGATAAAATCACAGAAAAGATTATTCTGGAAAAAAATTACTCTGGAAAATCTAGAGGACAAAACAAACATCAGTCAAAAGAGGAGAAAGTCCTGCTTGGCCAAGCTGATTTCCTTCTCCAACAGCATAACCCACGTGGAGGAGCTGGGAAAGCCAGGAAATGGAATCTTCAGACTTCCATGTGCATCCAGGACAAACTGGGAAATAAAGGAGAGGCTGGAGAGGAGCTGGGGGAAGGGAGCAGAGGGTCCTGGTTGATGGAAAGTTGGCTCAGCAGTGCCAGGAGGGACATCAGGAACAGCAGCAAGGGAGGGAATGGTCACAGCCCCAACGCTGCCAGAGCTCCAGAAGTGTTTGGAAAACGAGAGCAGGGACAGGGTGGGATTTTAGGGTGTTCTGGGTGTAAAATTGGACTTGATCCTTGTGGGTCCCTCCACTCCCAGCCCCAGGAGTTGGGGTAGCATCACTAGGAAAACCATAAAGGTCCAAGGAGTTCAACTTTTTCTGACAAAAGCAATCCAAGCATCACCACTGCTGGATTTCCAGGGGCTTTTCCCATCCCATAATCTCCATGGGCTGCTCCGTGATGGCCACACGATCTCAGAGGCTGCTCTTCCTGAAAAAATGACTTGTTTAAAGCACTGACAGCTCCTGCTGAGGAGGGCTTTAATGGCTGCTGGGCCACTGCCTGTGGATAAAAGCTTTCATTATCATTCCCTAAGGGAGAGGGAAAGGATCCAGAGGAGATAAGAGCACCCACAATGATGCCAGGGATGGGGACAGGACTGAATGAGATGGGCAAAGCCAGCTCAGAGCAGAGAATTCCCCAGCCCCCCCGAGCCCAGGAGAGATGGTTTTTGTTTAACCTCGGTGAGATGATGGCACTGAGAAGATTCTCCACAGTTTCTGCTCTCCCATCCCACCTCTGATCCATCCTTCCCAGCAGCAGCTCCAGCTCCTCACCCAGGAATGCTCCCAAATGTCCCACTCTAACCACAGCAGGAATGGCCGTGCTGATGCCTCAGTGAGAAAACAAAAAAAGCTTCATAAATCAGCTTCATTAATCCCTAACGAGCTGCTGGGGAGGAGGGCGATCCCAGGCTGCTCCTGCCTCACTCTGAGTTGTCTGTCCATTCCTGTAAATGCACTCCCTGTTTTTTTTTTTTTTTTTTTTTTTGCTGAGTTTTGGGGTTTTTATAAACTCACTTTTGAGGTTTTTATGAGGTACTCGATGGAGCAGCGGAAAGGAAAGGGGTCCAGGAGCCGCCCTCCCTGTGTTTATGGATCTCTCAGTGTTTTGCTTTGGGCTTGGTTTTGTTTTTAAAGATAATAAATCTTTGTCCTCTCGCCGCATCCATCGCCCTGTCCCGGCACAGAGGGAGGTGGCCCCAGCATGTCACACCCTGTGGACAACACCAGGAGCATCCCTGACCCTTCTCAGGAGCCTGATGAAGAATTGGAAGCCAGAATGGTCAGATGAGACCAGGCTGGAGATGAACTGGAGCTCTGAGAGGGTCACAGAGAAAGGCAGAACTCACAGCCACCCCGCTGGCTCTGTCCCTGGGGTGACGTGACAGAGGAATGGTGGCCACAGAGGGACCCAGGCCAGTGGCTGAGGCTCATTTAAGGAGAAACAAACCTGGTTCTGATTTGTACAAAACTGCTTTAATGACAAAACAGCTGAAAATACCTTTGGGTGCAGTTCTGGTGCCATCAAACATCCGTGTGCAATTCCCGGGCCCGGAAGGATGAGGGRCTTTTCCGGCACCTTCTCCCAGTGCAGCACATCCCCAGGAAGGGCTCTGTCCTCRGGGATCCCCTTCAAGACTCTCCACTAAGGACAATTTCCCTTCCAGCCCCTCCAGAGTGGGCTGGAGATCCCTCTGTCCCCTCATTTTGGAGCAATTTCATCGCCACCACCCTTCCCATCCCTGAAACCCCGTTGGCACCCACAGAGGGAGCCCAGCAGCAGCAGGAGTTTCAGGAAAATGGTGCTTCCAGACCGGAGCCAGCCCAGCCCAGTCCCTGAGATGCTGGGAAAGGTCTTGACAAGCACTGATCCAACGAGGGAGTCGTAGAAAGGAGAATCTGAACCTCAACAGCCGCTGGGCGAGGGAGCGAAGAAATACACGGCCAGGAGGATGAAGTAAACCATCACCAGCACCGTGCCTGCAGCGGGCAGAGAGAGGTGGAGGGAGTTAGTCCCTGCAGCAGGGGAGATGGTTTTAAAGAGCTGGTGGGGCCTGGATTAACCCCCTGTAGAGGACTTTGGTGGTTCTCTACAAAATGTCTGTTAAAAAGGAGTTTAACCCCTTTAAAGGGAAATGGGAGTGATTCCCCTTGGAGCTGCTGCAGGGGCACAGCTCCAGGATGGTCAACCAAAAATCGCTGGGGTCACCACACTGAGAGCCCCAACGAGTGGACAGGCCCAGAACTGGAACCAGGAGCCCTCCATCCCTGGAATTACAGGGATAATCGGAGCCCCAGAGCCCCTGTGGGCTGTGCTCACCTTGGAAATAGTCACATTTGCCATCCATGAAGATGTAGTTCATGAGCACCACGCTGAACATGCTGGCGTAGACGTGGAGGTCGCTGAAGACCAGCGTGAAGTTGGTCGGCTGGGAGGGAGAGGAGTTGGGGTTCATGGCCAACCAGGACCTGTGTCACCCCTTCTGCCACGTGTCCYCAGGGTGGGGACAGCACCAGGACACATCTGAACCCGCTCACCCTGCACTGAGCACAGGGGGGACGCTGGGATGGCAGCTGTGTCCCATCTGTGTCCCCAGCCCTGCTGTCCCCCGGGGCTACTCACGTAGAAGATGGTGAAGAGCACGAGGATGGGGATCTGGAGCATGCAGACCTGCACRGCGATGCAGTTCCCGATCTCGATGCTGGCGAGGAAGGACAACTTAGGGGCTGCCAAGGATCTCGGGTGAGAAAATCCCAAACTGTGGAGCCCATCCCGGTTCTGGCACCATTTCTTGGGTGAATAAATCCCTCGAGGACAAACTAACAGGGATCTGACCATCATGGGCACCGAGGCACGGTCATGGGATTGGGACAAGGCACAGGGACCACCCCAAAACTCACCCTGGAGCCACCTCACCTCAAGCTCAGGTTGTTCTGCAGGGCGAACTGGATGCCATTGACGATCTCTGGCAGCTCGGGCACCATGGCCAGCACGGTGACACCGATGAAATACTGCAGGGAAGAGGTGACAGCAGCCTGGGCCTCACCACACCCACGTTCCTCAGTGTGCAGAGCATCTTGGCATCTTTGCCCCGCTGCTTTTGGGGTTCTGGCTGCAGCCAAGGCAGGTGCCCAACCCCAAAGGGCACATTTTGCTCCTTGGGGACACCCAGACCCGGCTCACCTGCGAGATGGTGGAGTTGGTGAGGATGGGGCTGATGTGCTCCGTGGCCAGGTCGGCGCAGGCCGACATGCACAGGGTGGAGAGCAGCAGGATGAGCAGGGCCCGCCAGCGGGACCAGTGCACCACGGCGCTGTGGTGGTGGCCGGGCACTGGGGAGAGAGCAGAGACACGTGGGACACGCCAGAGCGGTGACAAGAGCCAGCCTGGTTTGGGGACATCGTGACTCACTGTGACAGTCGCTGACGTGGATGTCGTAGATGTGCGTGTGGGTTTTGAGGGTGAAGAAGAGCCCGATGAGGTAGGCAGCGGGGAGCAGGATGGACACCGTGTACACCAGGGGTCTGGGGGACACAGGGGACACGCTCAGTGCCACCAGAGTCTGCCATGGAGACCCCAGGGGACTTCCCGTGGGCATAGAGGAAATGGTTGCTGGATCACTGGGGTGGAGAAGTGCCACCCCCATGTGGGACAGCTCTGTCCCCACCGCAGAGGACACTCACTGGACGTGGCTGTAGTAGAGGGTGCCGTTGTTGTCCATCTGCAGAGAGAGCGCCCATCAGCAGGGACGCGGGGACAAGGGACAACCCCACTGCCACCACCCAGCCTGAACAGGGGGCTCAGAGCATGCCCCATCCCAAACTCACCAGGTCAAAGTGACAGTTGTGGCACAGGTAGTGGCCCAGCGGGTTCTGGGTGACGTTGTGGCACTCACCGCACACCAGCTTCCCATARACCTTGGAGAAGAGCGTCGGGGCGAAGACACCTGCGGGGACAGGACATGGAGTGGACACCCATCCTGGTGGGACCCCAAACCTGGGGACAGCCCTGTCCCCAACTCACCTCCCACGGACAGGAAGAGCAGGGCCGAGCTGACGCCCGCAGAGCGGCTGTTGAAGCGCTGCTCCTGGTGCCGGATACCCCCGATCACCATGCACAGACCCTTGGGGACAGAGAAAAAAAAACCCCAAAAATTCCCCATCCGTGCTTCACTCACAGCACCCCCAGCTCTCAGTGCCACCATCTCACCGGCACGAACAGGACACAGCCCACCAGCGTCCCCGTCAGGGCYGATTTGACCACCTCGGCGTAGCAGCGGTTGCCCTCGCGCGAGCCCTTGATGAGGGCGGTGATGTAGAAGGTGAGCTCGGTGATGGAGCCGAACGTGGCGTTCACCACCGCCCCCACCGCGAAATTGCTCTGGGCAGAGATGCTGGAGCGGGAGGAAAAGGCTGTCAGTGAGACTGGAGCATCCCCACTTTGTCACCGAGTGTCCCCTGTCCCCCTCACCTGGCGATGGCCATGCCGATGTAGTAGGAGAGGGGCATGATGGAGAGCAGGGCCAGGCTGAACTTGACAGCGGAGCCGGTGAGATGGTTGGAGCTGTCCACRTAGCCCAGCACCAGCGTCACCAGCACCAGCGGCAGCAGGTCTGGGGTGGCCGGTCAAGGACAYGGGATTTGGGGTGGATTTGGGGTGAGATTTGGGGTCAGCCCCCCACCCTCCCCGCTCCAGCCCCCAAAGGATACTGACGGCGAAGATGTTGATGCCRTCCACGGCGTATTTGTAGTAGTAGGGGTTGGCGGCGCGGTAGCAGCACAGAATCACCTCCCCCTCCAGCGGCACCTCCGTCTGCACAGAGACCAGAGGGTCACCCCCACCCCAAAATCCMCCCGGAGCGGGGTGCGGGTCCCTCACCCCACCCACAATCACCCACCATCCTCAGGCGCCGGATGAGCACCCGCTCCGGGGGCAGCAGCAGGACGCGGGCGGTGGCGCGGGCGCTCAGCTTGGCCACGGGGATGAGGACGATGAGGAGCCACGCGGTGACACACACGAGCCCGTGGGCCAGCGCCAGCACCGGGTAGCCCAGGCACAGCCAGGCCGCGGTGCCRGCACGGCGCTGCCAACGGGAGGTCACCGTGAGGGACTGAGCCCCGAAATGCCCGCCCCAGGGGAGGGGAGGCACCCRTGGGTGCTGTCCCCACCGCGCTGGGGCTCCAKSGGGACGTTACCGTGTCCGGTGTGGRGCTCACCCAGTGTCCGGTGCCCGCCCAGCACTGCGGGYGCCAGCGGCGTGGAGTGGGACCCCCGAGCAGGGCTGAGCGTTCCCCGGCACTCGCCTCACACGCCTGCTGGCATTTGGGGACCTGGGGACAACAGGGATGTCAGGGTGGGCATGGGACACCCTGAACATCCCCGAGAGTTCCCGGTGCATCCTCACCTCCACTTTCTGGATCACTTTGCCAAAGGGCCACAGGAAATACCCGGCCAGGTGCCAGCAGAGCCGCCCTGCGGGGACAGCACCRTCAGTGTCCCCTGCTACAGGGACATTGCATAAAGAAGGGACCCAGGAGAMCCCAACCCCATGGGTGCTGTTTGAGCTCATCCAGCCCCAAATTTGGGACTCACCATAAGGAGCCCCGATGACGGTGACRAACATCACGGCAGCCACAAGGACGTAGAGCAGCGAGAGCCACCAGCCAAAGAGCAGCAGGTAAAGGACATTCCCACACGTCAGCGTGGACCCTGCGGGAGGGAAAGCACCGGGTGGCACCATTGTCACCTGCAGCTGCCACCACCCAGGGCTGTCCCCAAGGCCACCCACCTCCAGAGCCTCGGATGACGTTGAGGTCGGAGTAGAGCTCCTTGACGATCTCGGACCGGTCCTCCCATGGCCGCGCTGTCACGTGGCTCTTCCATTTCTTGAAGCCAAACTGCAGACAGAGGAGTTTTCTCAGGGTGAGGGAAGGGGAAGAAAAATAAAGCCCCTTACAGCCCTCCAGGAGCACCCACGGGTGCCCCCACCCACCTTGTAGTTGTTGGAGAGCTTGTTGGCCTCCACGGCGTTCTCGGCCGTCAGGGTGGTTTTCACCACGCAGCTCTCGCACACCTCCTCCGAGTGCTGCTGGCAGCAGGACGGGGTGGCCATGGCTGGAGGTGACACACGAGGTCACAGCGGGTTGGGGACACCCCAGAGCCCCGTGTCCAGCCCACCCCGCAGCCAACCTACCTGGGGGCACRCGGGGACGGTGCAGGTGACAGCCCAGCTCGCCCAGGTCCCCCTGCACGTTGTTGATGGCGGCGCAGTGTCGGTCACACACGGAGCCCCGGCGGGGGCCATCGCTGTCACCCCGGCAATCTGGAACCTTGGGGACATCTGTGGGAGCTGTCAGAGTCACCCTGGGGCCACAACCCGTATCGCAGCACCGCGGGACAGCCGAGTGCTGGGTGTCACCTCGGTCCCCAAACCCCGCAGGGGGCACACAAAGCTCCCACGGTGGTACCCAGGGGATGCTCGGGAGGGTGACCCGGCGGTGCCCGGGACATGGGGGGCAAACCCCGCTCGGTGCCCGGTGTGTGCTCGGGAGGGTGACCCGGTGGTACCCGGGACATGGCGAACAAACCCCGCTCGGTGCCCGGTGTGCGGGTCGGGAGGGTGACCCGGCGGTGCCCGGGACATGGCGAACAAACCCCGCTCGGTGCCCGGTGTGTGGTCGGGAGGGTGACCCTGCGGTGCCCGGAACATGGCGGGCAAACCCCGCTCGGTGCCCGGTGTGCGGTCGGGAGGGTGACCCGGTGGTACCCGGGACATGGGGGGCAAACCCCGCTCGGTGCCCGGTGTGTGGTCGGGAGGGTGACCCGGCGGTACCCGGGACATGGAGGACAAACCCCGCTCGGTGCCCGGTGTGTGGTCAGGAGGGTGACCCGGTGGTACCCGGGACATGGCGAACAAACCCCGCTCGGTGCCCGGTGTGTGCTCGGGAGGGTGACCCGGCGGTGCCCGGGACATGGCGGGCAAACCCCGCTCGGTGCCCGGTGTGCGGTCGGGAGGGTGACCCGGTGGTACCCGGGACATGGGGGGCAAACCCCGCTCGGTGCCCGGTGTGTGGTCGGGAGGGTGACCCGGTGGTACCCGGGACATGGCGGACAAACCCCGCTCGGTGCCCGGTGTGTGGTCAGGAGGGTGACCCGGTGGTACCCGGGACATGGCGAACAAACCCCGCTCGGTGCCCGGTGTGTGCTCGGGAGGGTGACCCGGCGGTGCCCGGTGTGTGGTCAGGAGGGTGACCCGGTGGTACCCGGGACATGGCGAACAAACCCCGCTCGGTGCCCGGTGTGTGGTCGGGAGGGTGACCCGGCGGTGCCCGGGACATGGGGAACAAACCCCGCTCGGTGCCCGGTGTGTGGTCGGGAGGGTGACCCGGCGGTGCCCGGGACATGGGGGGCAAACCCCGCTCGGTGCCGGTCGGAAGAGTGACCCGGTGCCCGGGAAGGGGAGCCCCATTGGTGCCCTCCCGGCCCCGGAGACCCTCCCCGCTCACCGGGCGTGTCCTGCGCGCAGCAGCGGCGGCGGCGGCCGGGCTCAGCCTCGCTGGCCATGGCGGCGACAGCAGCTCCAGGGTCGGTGGTCCCGGTCCGGCCCGGCCCGCCGGAATTTAACGGGCGGGGCCGGACATGCGCGCCCCCGGGAGCCGCCCCCATCCCACCGGGAGGGGCCGGGCCGCCCCCGCCTCAGGTGGGGTTGGGATGCACCTGGGAACGGTGCGGGGGGCGCGGGGAGAGGGATGCGCGGGGACCACGGGGCGTGGTGTTTCGGGGTGCACAGACACCGGGGTGCGCGGTGTTTTGGGGTGCACAAGAGCGGGGATGCGCGGGGACCATGGGCGCGGTGTTTTGGGGTGCACAGGCACGGGGATGCGCGGTGTTTTGGGGCGCACAGACACCGGGGTGCGCGGTGTTTCGGGGCGGACAAGAGCAAAGATGCGCGGGGACCATGGGGCGCGGTGTTTCGGGGTGCACAGACACCGGGGTGCGCGGTGTTTTGGGGTGCAGAGACCCCGAGATGCGCGGTGTTTTGGGGTGCACAAGAGCAAGGATGCGCGGGGACCATGGGCGCGGTGTTTCGGGGTGCACAGACACGGGGATGCGCGGCGTTTTGGGGTGCAGAGACACCGGGGTGCGTGGTGTTTTGGGGTGCACAGACACCGGGATGCGCAGGGATCCCGTGCGCGGTGTTTTGGGGCGCACAGACACCGGATGCGCGATGTTTTGGGGTGCAGAGACACCGGATGCGCGATGTTTTGGGGTGCACAAGAGCAGGGATGCGCGGGGACCCCCGTGCGCGGTGTTTCGGGGCACACAGACACCGGGATGCGCGGTGTTTCTGGGTGCACAGACACCGCGGTGCGTGGTATTTCGGGGTGCACAGACACCGGGGTGCGCGGTATTTTGGGGCGCACAGACATCGGGGATGCGCGGTGTTTCGGGGTGCACAAGAGCAGGGATGCGCGGGACCGTGGAGCGCGGTGTTTCTGGGTGCACAGACACCGGGGTGCGCGGTGTTTTGGGGTGCACAGACACCGGGGTGCGCGGTGTTTCGGGGTGCAGAGACACCGGGGTGCGCGGTGTTTCGGGGTGCACAGACATCGGAATGCGCGGCATTTTGGGGCGCACAGACACCGCGGTGCGCGGTGTTTTGGGGCGCACAGACACCGGGATGCGCGGTGTTTTGGGGTGCACAGACACCGGGGTGCGCGGAGTTTTGGGGTGCACAGACACCGAGATGCGCGGTATTTTGGGGTGCTCAGACACCGGGGTGCGCGGTGTTTTGGGGCACACAGACACCGGGATGCGCGGTGTTTTGGGGTGCACAGACACCGGGGTGCGCGGTGTTTTGAGGTGCACAGACACCGGGGTGCGCGGTGTTTTGGCGCGCACAGACACCGGGGTGCGCGGTGTTTTGGGGCGCACAAATACCGGGGATGCGCGGTGTTTTGGGGCGCGCTGTTTCGGGGTGCACAGACACGGGGATGCGCAGTATTTTGGGGTGCTCAGACACCGGGGTGCGCGGAGTTTTGGGGTGCACAAGAGCGAGGATGCGCGGGGACCCCGGTGCGCGGTGTTTCGGGGTGCACAGCGTTGCCTTTCGGTTGCTCTGAGAACTCTGAGGCAGACCCGGTTAATGGGGTAAAAGGGTTTTCCCCGGTGTTTAATGGGATCAAAGAGTTTTCCCCGGTGTTCAATGAGATCCTATTGGTGCGCAGCTCTTTGGGGTGGAACACACCCCGGGTAACGCCCATACAATTTTTATCCACCTCACAAATCAACGAATTTGCCCGGAATCCCCCAATCAGAAACTCCATCCATGCAGCGATGTCCCCCTGTTGTAAAGAATCCCCCCAGCCGGGCCAGAGCCCAGGTTACACAATGAGCTCCAGAGAGAAGGTTCCAGAAAAGGCTGAACCCTCGAGTTTGGGACAACTCGGGGCTCAACGGGACCCCAAAGCTGAGCTGGGATATCAGGGAACAGAAATCACAGGTGTGTAGGGTACCAGGGATACATAAAGGGTACAGAAAATATCTAAAAATATCTATAAAATGTATAAAAGGGTATAAAAAATGTGTAAAAGGGTATATAAAATGTGTAAAAGGGCATATAAAATATATAAAAGTATCTATAAAATACATTAAATGGTCCATAAAATATATAGAAGAGTATATAAAATATACAGAAGGGTAAATAAAATATATAGAAGGGTGCATAAAACATATGAAAGGGTATATAAAATAAAACATATAGAAGGGTATATAAAATATATAAAAGGGTATATAAAATATATAGAAGAGTAAGTCAAATATATAGAAGGATAAATCAAATATATAGAAGGGTATATAAAATACACAGAAGGTTAAATAAAATATATAGAAGGGTATATAAAACATATAAAAGGGTATATAAAATATATTAAATAGTCTGTAAAATATATAGAAGGGTACATAAAATATATTTAAGGGTATATAAAATATATAGAAGGATAAATCAAATATATAAAAGGGTATATAAAATATATAGAAGGGTAAATAAAATGTAATGGGGTAAATGATGTATTGGGGTCATATATTGGGGTGTGGTGTATTGGGGTGATATATTATGGTGGGTGATGCATTGGGGTAATATATTAGGGTGGGTGATATATTGGGGTGCACAGTGTATTGGGGTGGGTGATGTGTTGGGGTGATATATTGGGGTGTGGTGTATTGGGGTGGGTGATGTATTGGGGTGCACAGTGTATTGGGGTGTGATGTATTGGGGTGGGTGATGTATTGGGGTGCACAGTGTATTGGGGTGTGATGTATTGGGGTGGGATTATATATTGGGGTAGATGATGTATTGGAGTGTGATGTATTGGGGTGTGGTGTATTGGGGTAGGTGATATATTGGGGTGTGGTGTATTGGGGTGATATTTTGGAGTGTGGTGTATTGGGGTGGGTAATGTATTGGGGTGCACAGTGTATTGGGGTGTGACGTATTGGGGTGGGATTATATATTGGGGTAGGTGATGTATTGGAGTGTGATGTATTGGGGTGTGGTGTATTGGGGTAGGTGATATATTGGGTTGTGGTGTATTGGGGTGATATATTGGAGTGTGGTGTATTGGGGTGGGTAATGTATTGGGGTGCACAGTGAATTGGGGTGTGATGTATTGGGGTAGGTGATATATTTGAGTATGATGTATTGGGGTGATATATTGCGGTGTGGTGTATTGGAGTATGATATATTGAGGTAAGTGATGTATTGGGGTGACATTGGAGTGTGATGTATTGGGGTAGGTGATGGGGTGATATATTGGAGTGTGGTTTATCGAGGTGGGTGATGTTTTGGGGTGTGATGCATTGGGGTGCACAGTGTATTGGGGTGTGATGTATTGGGGTGGGTGATGTGTTGGGGTAGGTGATATATTGGAGTATGATGTATTGGGGTGTGATATATTAGGGTGTGATGTATTGGGGTGGGTGATGTTTTGTCGTGTGATGCATTGGGGTGCACAGTGTATTGGGGTGTGTGATATATTGGGGTGTGATGTATTAGGGTGATATATTGGAGTGTAGTGTATTGGGGTGTGATATATTGGGGTGCAGTGTATTGGGGTGTGTGATATATTGGGGTGTGGTGTATTGGGGTGTGTGGTATATTGGGGTGCACAGTGTATTGGTGTGTGACATATTGGGGTATCATGTATTGGGATGATATATTGGGGTGTGCTGTATTGGGATGTGTGATATACAGGGGTGTGATGTATTGGGGTGTGATATATTGGGGTCCCATATTGGAGTGTGGTGTATTGGGGTGGGTGATATACAGGAGTGTGATATATTGGGGTGCACAGTGTATTGAGATGTGATGTATTGGGGTAGGTGATATATTGGGGTAGGTGATGTATTAGGGTGATATATTGGGGTGTGATGTATTGGGGTGTGTGATATATTGGGGTGCACAGTGTATTGGGGT